TGTCTCGCCTAAGTCTACCCCTAAAAATACACCCCCACCTTCTCCCACTAGGAGAAACACTCAGCTAAAACGAAAAGATGATGACGATTTTGAATTTCCCCCGACTAGAAAAACTGCTCGTAAAGCTATCTTGCAGGATTCCCAAGAGATTGGAATTGAAAATCAATTCTCCCTTCTCCCCAATGTCATAATTAAACAAGTCTCAGGTCAACTGGCTTCGTCTGCCGCGAAAAACTCTGAACCGACTACCACAGCCAATCAGAATAACGGCAGCAACGCACTCCCACCCCCTCTCATGCTTAAAACCGACGAAAACTATCGTGTCCAGGTAGACACCATCAAAAAGATCTACCCGCATCTAAGACTTAAAACCACAGGAGAGTATATTAAATTATATTCAAATACGACAGAACAAAACAGAATCGTAAGACAAACTCTTATTGAACTAGGATACCGATTTTATGTAATTACCCCTAAAAATGAACGCCCGATTAAAGTCGTAATTAAGGGATTCCCCAAAAAAGCTAACCCTGAAGAAATTAAAAAGGACCTGGAAAAAGAAGGATTCGAACCTGACAGAGTCACTCAGCTAGTTGGTCGTAGGACCAAACAATTATTACCTATTTTTCAAGTAACTCTTCCCCGCACCATAGAAAACCTAAAAATTTTCGATCTTAAAACTCTTGCGCATCTTAACATTACTGTCAACGGATACAACGGCAGAGGAGTCACGCAGTGCTTCTCCTGCAACAACTTTCACCATAACGCAGACAATTGCTACCTCAAACCCCGCTGTCTTAAATGCGGTGAAGAACACCTTACTAAAGATTGCCCCATAAAGCAGAGATTGGAAACAAAATTCTGCATTAACTGTCAGGTGTACGGCCACATGGCCAACTGGTACGGCTGCCCCTGTTTTCCTAAGCCCCCTAAGGGCACTGCTAAAGTAAACCGCAATAGCTACACTATAATTTGTATAACAGTCTAATTAGACCCAACCTCTCATACGCACAAGCAACAACAGGGAAACCAGCAAATACGAACAAAAAACCACAACAGATGGCGCCACGAAGACCTGAGACTTCTCGCCAAACTGAGACCGTTATTCAAACCCCATCCATCCAAAATCATAATGTAAACCCACAAATTAGCACTACTCAAGCTACCAATCTAAACCTAAACGCTCCAATCACTAATAATAACAGTGATATCAAAGCACTTCTCTCAACTACAGTGCAATGTCTAATACAACTACTAAACGCTATGAATACTACTCCAGCAATAGCAAATAATTTCGATACTGTTAATTCCGCACAAGAGGATGCAAATCAAATGTACGGCCTAATAGAGGCATCTTGTAACGTTGATAATGATCAATAAGTCCCCAATCGGTCTCAGTTTGTGTTCTTGGAACGCAAACGGCTTACTTGATAAAATAACTGAACTTAAAATTTTTATAGAAAAGCACTCCCCAGACCTAATCTTAATTCAAGAAACACATTTGAGACCATCACACAACATAAACATAGCTAATTACATATGTTACAGAAACGACAGACCGACATCAAACGAAAACTACAGGGCCTTCGGTGGAACTCTAATTCTCATTAAAAACTCTATTAAACACTACTCACTTCCTACTCCATCCATGCAAACTATCGAAGCTACCATTGTAATACTAACTCCCATAGATCACGATCCCATCTCGATTGTCAGTATTTATATACCGCCGAGATCGGACGAATACACCTTCACAATTGATATTGAAAACCTCATTCAAACCAGCAGTAACTGTGTTTTATTTGGCGACTTCAATGCCCCACATACTGCCTGGAATTGTAATACTAACTCTTCTAGAGGTGTACGCCTCCTTGACTTTGTTAATATGACTAATTTATACATTGCCTACCCCGACTCTCCTACGAGGTTCGGGATTAACTCTGCTAACACCTTAGACATCGCTGTTATTAGAAATTTCTACTACCCATATACCATTAACTCCCTTCATGATCTATCATCCGATCACAACCCAGTTCTTCTTAATTTCACTCTTAAACTTAAAAAAGATACTCCTAATCCCAGAGCTGTTCATACAAACTGGCCGCTCTTCTCTAAGCATCTTAATACTAAGCTTTCTCTAATTGATTATCACCCAAATTCTATTAAAACTAACACAGATATCGACCAAAAAATTTCAGAGTTCACTGAAACGGTCCGCGCCGCCCATAGCCACGCCTCCCGACCAATAGAAACTCTCCGCAAAAAGCTACACTCCGCCGCATATTCACAATCTTATTAAGCAGAAAAACCAATACAGAAATTTATATCACAGAACTCTCGATCCACACTACAAACACTTTACAATTAAGCACAAAAAAAATGTCAAAAATGAACTTCGTAAATATAGTAATGAAAAATTGGACAGCCAGACTAAAAGCACTTGACACACAAGACAATAGTCTATGGGCGGTACAAAAATTCCTCAAAAATAAGCGTTCCGACATTCCACCGTTAAACTGTTCCTCCGGCACAGCTGTTACAGATACACAAAAAGCGAATATCCTGGCCGATTCTATTCTTGACAATTTCACCGAAAATTCTAGACCCTAATAATGATTTTGATGACGTCGATGAGTTAATTAATAATACGGTTAACTCCTTCCTCTCCCTTCCTACTTCCACTACTACTGAAACTGCCTATCCCTCTGAGATTATTAGCTATATTAAGAAATCTAACTCTAAAAAAGCGCCAGGTAAAGATGGCATTAGTAATCGAATGACTAAAAATTTCTCCCCTCAAAGCTATTCTCATTCTAACAATTCTAATTAATAAGATTTTAACTCTCAATTACTTTCCTAAAGCTTGAAAGAAGCCATTATTTTTCCTATCCTTAAGCCAGGTAAAAATAAAAATATTCCTTCTAGTTATCGACCAATTTCCTTACTTTCCACCTTAAGTAAAATCACAGAATCTATTATCCTGACTAGACTCAAAGAATTTCTCTATACTAACAATATATATCAACCCTAATCAGTATGGTTTTACAAATAAACTCTCTACCCTACACCCACTTTTGAATCTAACGGAAGCAATCTCAGAGGGCTTTCAAAGTAAAAAAGAGCACCGGCGCAGTATTTCTGGATATCCAGAAAGCCTTCGACCGTGTGTGGCTTACTGGTCTTACTTATAAACTTATAAATTATAAAATTCCTCCTCCGCTCGTTTTTCTGCTTCACTCGTACAACTCTAATCGCTCTTATCAGGTTCGTGTCAAGGATACCTTGTCTACAACTAAATTTATTAACTGTGGAGCAGCACTGGGGCAGTCTGCTTGGACCCCTGCTGTTTAATCTTTACATTAACGACATACCAGAATACTCTCTCACTAAACTAAACATGTATGCAGACGATACAGCTGTGCACACTACATTTAAGAGAATCACATCAGTCACTTTTGCTCTAAACAAACACCTCAAATTGCTTGAAAAATATTACGACCGGTGGAAAATCAGCATTAATGTTGAAAATTCCGCCGCCGTTTTATTCACTAAAAAACGTAAAATTCCACCACCACCTAAAATGTACAACACTACAATCCCATGGTCTCAAAGTACTAAATACCTTGGTATTACTTTTGATAAAAATCTCACTTGGAAAACACACATTCAAAACACGCGTCAAAAATTCCGGAAATTAATGTTTAAACTTTTCCCCCTAATTGGCCGGAATTCGGATTTATCTAGAGATAATAAAGTGCTTTTATTCACAGCCGTTATGCGTCCCATTTTATCTTATGGGTGCCCAGTGTGGGGATACGCCGCTAAAACTAATATCAATATCTTAGATACTTTACAAAATTCAACAATCCGAATGATCGTTAAAGCCTCAAGGTACATGAGAAACGACGACATTCGGAAAGCTATTAAAATCAAAAGTTTTAAATTCTATATCCAGAAAATAGCTAAAAAGTTCTTTAACTCTCTGCAATTCACTAATAATAGCAATATGATTAACTTAAATACCTATACTCCTCATGATTCTACTAAAAGACCGAGAAGAATTCTTCTCGACTCTTACAATCCGCCATAATTTTAATAGCCAGTGCATTGTTGCACAACTGTTGCTAAATTTATTATTTCTATATTTATCTTTATTTTTCATCTTAAATTTTGTCGTATCCCCACCATCCGGACTTGCCCCTCCCCTTTAGTCTTAATTTTCTCTTTTGAGAGACTTGAGCAGCCTATGAGAGTCAATTTCATCTCCCGCCATGCACCAATAAGAGAGCTTCCTTTCAGCTCTCAGCCATGATCACAGAAATCCGCACGACCCAGGAAAATACACCAACGATTGGCTCGACCAATCAGCTGCTTCCTACATGCTAGCAGGATACAGCCCACAGTCGTTCCTCATATATTTTTAAGATATGGGATGGAGGCTCGCTTCGCGAGCCATATGCCCAGAATTTGTCACCGTAGTATTGCTGTTATACTTGGATGAAGTAAAAAGTAATTCCCGGATTCTGAACCGTGGACGTCTCGGACCAAATGCGAGAATCATACCCCTAGACCACTGAGCAACGTCGTATCATTCTTATCCAAGCATTTAAAAAAGATTCCAAGCGGATTGCAATTATAACTTTTCAATATTTGGAAAGAAAATAATTCCTTGTTTACTCCTGGGTTATCAAATTCAGTAGAAAAAGACACAAGAGGAACAGCAAACTTTTTTCCTTAAAAACAGTTAAGCACAGTGGGCTCGAACAGGAATTGAACCCGGGACCTCTCGCACCCGAAGCGAGAATCATACCCCTAGACCACCGAGCCGTGTCACATCCGTCTGATCCAAGCACTAAAAAGAGGTGCCAAGAAGAATGCAATTATAATTTTTCAATGAATTTAAAAGAAAATAATTCCTTATTTACTCCTGGGTTATCAAATTCTGTTGAAATGAACACAAGAGGAACAGTAAAATGTTCCCTTCGTAACGGTTTAGCACATTGGGCTCGACCTGGAATTGAACACGGGGCCTCTCGCACCCTGAGCGAGAATCATACCCCTAGACCACCGAGCATCGTTAAAGTCTGTAAACAAATTTGTGAACTTTACTGTAGAAAGCAATATATTAAACAAACATTCTGATGGAACGTCTTGAAAAATATTGTTCCAATATAATAAAGATCTTTTTCGCATTCTTTGCGTTGGTAGTTTTATCGTTTTAATATTGCTGTTATACTTGGATGAAGTAAAAAGAAATTTCCGGATTCTGAACCGTGGACGTCTCGGACCCAAAGCGAGAATGATACCCCTAGACCACTGAGCAACGTTGTATCATTCTTTTCCAAGCATTTAAAAGAGATTCCAAGCGGATTGCAATTATAAATTTTCAATATTTGGAAAGAAAATAATTCCTTGTTTACTCCTGGGTTATCAAATTCAGTAGAAAAAGACACAAGAGGAACAGCCAACTTTTTTCCTTAAAAACAGTTAAGCACAGTGGGCTCGAACGGGAATTGAACCCGGGACCCTCGCACCCGGCGAGAATCATACCCCCAGACCACCGAGCCTCGTTAAGGTTTTGTAAACAAATTT